CTCCTATTTTTTATGTAGAGAATGAATCTTTTTCTTGAAGTATCAGAAAAAATAGGTTTGAATCTCCCGCAGAAATGATTTGAAAGATCCTAAATTAAAAACAGTGGTATTTGCAAGCACTTTTGTTTAAAATCTTATCTATTTTGATAAGAAACCTCTCTTAGTTCAATTTGGCAGAACGTGGGTCTCCAAAAACCTGATGTCGTATGTTCAAATCCTATAGAGCATGATTTTTATTTTTAGATCGAATTAGAATAAAATAAATTCATTCCTTAACTTTCATAACAATTGAAATTTGACCTCAGTTTACTTGAAAAAGTGAAAAATTAGACCTATAGTCTAAAGACCTGAAGATGTAATGTCAGTAGGATACAAATAAATTCTTGTGAGAAAGGTGAAATAAAAATTAAAGCCAGAAGATATAAAATACAACTTGTGTCTTGTTGCATATAAAATTTTCGCAAATTCCTGAGATTATTACACAGAGAGGTCTTTTTGCGGTGGATGCATTTATTTTTAGGCTGCTTATGAGTTTGACAATATAAGAAAACTTGATATGCGTATAATAAAATTATTTTCATGTCTAGATAGACAATGAAGTTTACATGAAAATTCTTGAAGGATTTAAAAGGTTTGAAACTGATCCCATTTAATACCTCAATGGTTGTGAGATCTCTTAACGTAAAGAAAGATCAATTTCTATAATGAACCCCACGGCCCGTCCATTTGGGTCATGACAAGCTGGTATCAGAGCGTCTAGGTTATCGGTCTACAAGTACAAGAGAAATGTTGAGTAGACTCCTATAGATTGGTGTGTAGACGTCCATATCTAATCCTCGGGAAGCTATAAGGCATTTACAAAGTTACATTTATTTCTTTCCCATCGTGTTGTCCGGTTGTGTTGATATCCCGAGTTGAGTCCAATTGGTATTTAAGAAATTCCAATTGATATCTCGATGGGTCTAATTGGTATCTACCTAGGAGTGATTAGTGAAAACCTTCAATAAGACTGGTGGGTGGGATTGACTTGAGTTGACCAGAGAGACAAAAAAACTCTTGTTATAACACTTGTTCTGTTTAGCAAGTTTCGCTGCAGCGAAGGCTGTCTCACTGCAGGGGACTTGCTACAGTGGAAGAGGTACCGTTATTGGGGTAAGACGACCGCTAAAGTGTACGTGGTCAGGCAGAATGTCAGGATCCAGAATTGCAATATTCCCTATTATGAATATCAGATAACAAATAGAACCTAGTGACAACGGATAAGCAATGTGAATATAGGTAAACTACTGCGATATTATAAAGAGGGCCAACACGGCTAATGTCTGAGAATGTCAAATGGGCATCCATACATTAAGGTAGAACTAGTATATCATTCAGCTACAAAAAACAAAAAAGGAAATAAGATTGTCTTACAAGGCCCAAACGGGGGCTAACCAAAAACAATTATAACAGCCAAAACAGGGGGGAAACACTAGGACTCGTCTAGCTGGAGGTATCGTCACTGCGCTGCCGGCCTCATCATCTATTCCCTCCTCGAACTCGCTGAGGAAAGAGAACTCGGAGAGATCCTGTCGGGTTGCCAAGGGTGGCCTTTACCTGGGAGCTAGTGTCTTTAGGTTCTTCTTGATCCCTTTCCACATGCGGACAAAGAGCTTATCCCGAGAGCCTTGTCTCCTCCTCTCCTGCTCCAAGTCCTCCCGGAGCTTAACATGTGTCACAACCCGAGAGTACACCCGAATCTTAAACATAGGACAAGGAGCTCCGAGGGACCCCAAGTCAACCCATGGCATGAGCATGTAACTAAACCATTCACATAAGGCGGAAGAATTAGCTTAATGATAATGAACTGAAAGAAAACCGAGGCATGAAATATAAGGAACAACAATACATGATCCAAGCATAAACAGTTGGATTCTACAAATAGGTTTGAAAGCCTCTAATCATAATAGATGGGTTCAAGGGACAAGGCCACAACTAAACCCAACATTCTGAAACAAAAGATAGCCAAGATCTGAACATAAAGCCCTCGAATCATGAGGACTCACAAAGGAGAACTAAGAGTAGAACTGAGAGTAAGCTAGGAGCGATGTTGAGCCTGAGATCTAGATCCTGTATCATGAAACGATACAGCATAGAAAATATACGGGTCAGTACTTTGAATGTACCGAGTATGCAAGGTAAGTAAAATAATACTTAGAAACATAAGAGTTATAAGAGTAGGACATCATGATCATAAAGAAAGAAATCATAAATATATCGTAAGGCTCAAGGTTTTCCAAAAGCATTCATAAACCTGTCATAGTCACAACATGAGAGAAAAACATTTCATAAAACATGACTTGAGCCAAAAAATATAATTATACATGCATTAAAACAATAAAGAATAGTGGGAGATTTCTATAACCGACATACCCCATATGAGCACACATGGATCCCGACCTGTGAGCCTAGTCGGAAGGCCGTTCATACCTTGCCAAGGGTAGAACCATGAAAGGCGTGATATCACTCATGAAGGCCCCGTAGGGCATAGGGGACGGTCAATGAGGAGGTCCAAAACATAAACTATGGTGGCACGTAGTTCTGAGATTTGGGGCGTAACCTGGGACCCGAACCTACTTGGCGTTAAGAACTACTCCCAAAACATGAAACGTGCTCATAGAAATCCATACATGACATGCATGGCTAGTTAATCGTGATAATCATAACATGCTTGAGAATTTGTAATACTAGCCATAAAATCGAGCTCGTGGATCGGCCAAAATTATAGTTCATGAACCATAAGCTACATGTGGGCATTACCCATATTTTCAACATCCTTGAAATGCTTAACTTTTATAGAAAACATGATCATAATAACATGAGAGATTGAAGACATGCTTAAAATTTATAAATTCATATCATGCTTGAGGAATCACCATAACCATGAACTTTACCAAAATCCTCATGATTTGGGCACCTATGCTTTTAGGGATTAGATCATCAACCATTGAATAAAACAAGTGAAAATAGCCCAATAATTTGAAACCCATGATTTAGACATACTACAACAAGTTTATATCAATTTTCAAGGAATCATGCATTTGGGTTAAGACCCATAAAGATTTAGTAACTCTAAACAGAGAGTTTGGGAAGAATTGGACATGGGTAGGGACTAAACCACCCATTCAAAACCCCACATACCTAGAATTACTTGATTCTTAAATCCCCTGAAAAGCCCAAGATGAAATTTCAAAGAATTTGAAGAAGAACCCTAGGATCACCTCCTACTCCCTTCTCTAACTCTTGCAAGCATCAAATGAGACTTAACATGAATTATTTCCCCTTAAAAGACC